AAACAACCTCCTTTACCTCCCTTGGAAGGATCGTTTCAACAACAGGCCGACGGAAGTGACGAGGATATCAAAGCCAGAATTGGAAAAGCAAGACAAGCTTTCATTACTCTCAAATTTGTGTGGAGGTCAACAGCACTCAGCATCAAAATTAAGATCCGGATTTTCAACTCCAATGCGAAGTCAGTGCTACTATACGGATCAGACACTTGGCGAGTCATAAAGAGCACATCAAACAAACTACAGATTTTCATTAACAGCTGTCTTCTCCCAATACTTCGCTCAAGATCAGATGGCCTGCCAGAAAAGATCAAGAACAGGGATCTCTGGGAGCGAACCAACACAGCAGGAACTGATTGTGCAACAAATAGGCAGGAAGAAATGGAGATGGATTGGCTGGCCATACTCTGAGGAAACCATCAAGTGAGTGACATCACTAGACAAGCCACTGCTCGAGTGGAACCCGACTGAATGGGAAGCGACGAGTTGGTCGTCAATGCGATGGTGACTTGGAGGAGGCCATGTGAAGAGGAGATGAAAGCGTGTGGGCAGACTTGGAGCGGGGTGAAAAAGTTGGCAGAAAACAGAAGGCAATGGAGGTGCGCAGCTGAAGCCCTATGTTCCTCTAGGAATTAAAGGATATAATAATAATAATAATAATAATAATAATAATAATAATAATAGTTAAAGGCAAATGCTGATTTTGACATTTTTTGATAATTTGTGTAGTCTGACATATCGATCCGTGGTCTAACTCAAAAATCAAATCTAATCCTTACAAACCAACTCTAGAAAATTAATCTAATGCTTGCTGGTGACAGTACGGAGTTTCCTGGAATTCTAGTCAGAAGTCGTGACCAGTGAGGTTCATTCAGTCGGGAGTGAGGACAGAGTTTCCACCGATGAAATAGATTAGTGGTCGAGCTAAATGCGTTGGTAGAAATGGTAGAAATTAGGATTCATGAACTGGTCATTGAATTGGGTCCCAGTGGCTGAATAGTATACGAGCTTGTCTTGTAACCAGAAGGTCTTGGGTTCGACGTCCGGTGGTGGGTGAGTATTGTCGATGATTGCCAAACTCGGACGTAGGAAACGGCTGTTCAGTACTCCTACCTCGTTTTCAATGGTTCTCAAACTGATATCAATCCGTGGTCAAACTCGAAAAGCACACCTAATTCTCGTAAATTAACGCTTGAAAATAAATAATATTTGAATGAAGCAAAAGTCCAGGATATATAAAACTAGCTTATTAAATTTCAAAATGGTATTATAAATAAATAAACAGTATGCATTTGAACGAAGGAAGGTTAACTTAGACAGCTCTTAACTTTAACTATGATACTTTAACTTCGCCTCTGAATGAATGACGTATATTGGCGCTATTTGAAACAGAATACTATGCTTATTCTATACCAGTGAACATAAAAGTGAATAAGAAACAGTTGAGTAATAAAACAACTAAACAAAAAGTCTACTTATTTACCCTATGTAACAGAAATTTTAAGAATTATAAAAAAGGAAAACAAAAAGTTGAGTTCTTCTTAACAGTGAAAGATTTTATAACTCAGAATTGTAGCCTTAGATGAACTGGTACTTCCAAGTGTGCATGTTTTACACACTGATCAAGTTGTTGCCCAATAACTTCAGTTGTAAATGCCTTTTCTTATGGAGGTAGACTTTTCAGAGTATTCTTCAGAAACCAGGGCTTTAAGGCCTTCTTATCTCACTTAGGTAAACTTTTATTGCATTTACAAATTTAAATGTATTTAGGCAAGAAGGTATATAATAGGGAGTTCCCTTCATCCTAAATATATTTCCATCCTTGATTTACTCAGGCATACACATAAACACAGTCAGTATGAAACACGATATCGTGTATGAGATCAGAGAACCGTTAATCATGAAAATAAATTTGTCTCAGTTGTCAAAAATTGAGTCATATGTTTCACATCACTCTACTGCTAAACAATAGAAAGTAGTCTACTGTTCCATTGCACCTGAACACAACTGACACTTGTAATAGCAACAAAAAATGCATCAACTATGCCAAATGATAATCTTCACAAAGGTTAAAGAAAAGTGATGGATGATAGCTTACACCTAATATTAGTTAAGGAATCGTTTACTTTTTAGCTTGTACTTTAACCAAGACACTTATACTCCTCAAGCTTTGTGCATTTCTCATGTATTGAGTATATACATGGATTTCGCCTGACGGACACACCAGAAAGCAGATAGACTTCACGTCAATGCTGGACACAAATTCGGAAAGAGGAGCAGATGTGGGCTCACACCATTATCTAGTTCTAGTAAAGCTTCAAGGTGAAGCTAAAATCCTTCAGAATAACTGGAGACAGATCACTGTAATTCAAGTTCAACACTATGACACTGAAAGACGAAACTACAAAAGATACCTTCACTACAGAGATCAGAGCAAAGTCAGAGGCACCATGTGGTATCACTGAGGAAACCTGTGTGGAAGAACATGGGAACTAACTCTTTGAAGGTTATGTTCAAGGAAACGTGTACAACTGTTCTAGGAAGAAAGAAGAGACAAGACAAGGAATGGCTGTCAATGGACACCTACCTGGGAGCTAATCGGGAGAGGAGGATGGTGAAGGAGAAGATGACTCAATGCAAAGATGGACAACAGAAGAAGAAGCTAAGTTTAATTTACACTGCACTGAATAGAGAAGTGAAGAAGAGTGCTAGGAAAGATCAAAGACACTTTTACGACACACTGAAAACTGAAACAAAACAGACTGACCTCAGGTAAAAGAGACCCCAGAACATTATGTCACATAACGGGGTCTCTATCTGGGAAAAGATCAACGCGGATGACGAAGCCAATAACAATGGGTTGAACACTTCAAAGGACCGTTGAATCGACCGTCACCCCCAACTCATCCAGATGAGCCCCCAACAGTGTGCACAGAGCTGACAGTGGACAGCAATTCTCCAACAAAAGCGAAATTTTTGAATGCGAAGAAGCCGTGGAAGTCCAAAAAGGCGGCAGGACCAGATGGAATTCCTCACAAAGCACTGAAAACCGATGCAGAGACTGGAGCGGATATGCTCACGTCGCTATTGTACAAAGTTTGAAAGGAAGGAAAGGTACTTATCGATTGGAATAAAAATGGGTACCTTATCAAACTACCAAAGAAGAGCGACTTAGGCCTCTTCAAAAACTCGCGCGGAATCGTGATCTTATCCATGCCAGGTAAAATATTAAGTCGTATCATGCTGGAGAGAATAAAAGATGCAATCAATGCAGAACTCAGCCCCACCGAACGGGACAAGCTGGATTCAGGAAAGGCAAATCATGTGTTAATCGAATGGCAGCTCCACGCATCGTCATTACAGAACAAAGCATAGAATGGCAGTCAAACGTGTACCTCAACTTCATCGACTTCTAGGAAACCTTCGACACTGTTGACCGAAAAGTAATTTAGAAACTACTTCAAAACTATGGCATGTAGTGCCCAAATCTTTATCAACCTCATTAAACCACAGCTGTATGACAGGTAGTCCACAACGGAGAAATCAGCAAGACCTTTGAAGCGAATGTAGGAGTAAGAGAAGGCTGCTTACTATCACTGATACTCCTAATTGTGGTGGACTGGATTTGTGGTAGACTGTGGGTAGTAAGAAGACAAGAACACGAGGGGTCAATCAGAAGGCTCTAGAAGATCTGGACTTTTCGAACGACTTACTTCTAATGTCAAATAAATTCGAAAACCAACAGGTTGGAAGAAAATCAGGGCTTCAACAGAAAAAGGTGATGAAGATAACCAAATCGGTAACAACAACAACAAGCACCAATCATAATCAACGGAATAAATTTGAACGACGTCACTTTCTTCACTTATCAAGCAAGCATCATTTCAACTACAGGCGGCAGCACAAATGATGTCAAAATTAGAATCGGAAAGGCAGGAAAGACATACCTTCATCGCTCTGAAATAATCATTTGGAAATCTTTTGAACTCAGCAAAAAGAACCAAAATTCGGATTTTCAACACCAATATCAAGTCAGTTTTTCTATATGACTCAGAAATTTGGCGCGTCACGAAAAGAAGTTCTAACAGGCTACTGCAGACTTTTATCAACAGTTGCTTTCTCCCGATACTGAAGATGAGATGGCCGCAAAGAATCAGTAACAACAAACTCTCGGAACGAACCAACTGAACAAATATAGCCGAAGAAATAGTAGGTGGATCGTACAAACGCTGAAGGCACCATTGGTTGACATAGAGTGCCAGACCATCGCTCGAGTGGAACCTGAATGAAAAATAACGAGCTGGGAGTTTGAGAATGACGTGGAGGATAAATCATGTGATTAGGAGGCGAAAACTTTTGGGCGATTGTAGGTTAGTTAAAAAGCACTGCAGAGAACAGGACGAAACGGAGACGTGATGCTGAAGTCCTATATTTCACTCGGAACCCAAGGGAATAATAATAATAAATAATTAGTTTGCTTTTACTTCATGTTAGTTGATACGGTATATAAATAACGTCAGGGTTATTTGCACGGACCGAAGAGACAAGATTAAAAGCAGATACAAAAAGTGTTCTATAAATACACTACTAATTAATTTAAAGTCATTTAACCAGAACAAATTTATTCATGCGTCAGACTTATCATGCGACGGTTGGTGATCCTAACTAGTCTCTCAGAGCGAAGTGGGTCGAATGGGACTCGAACCCCCTAAGTAGCCGAAAGTCAAGTGATTAAGCCAATGAGCAATATCGAGATTTTTTAAAAAAAGTAGAAACCCCTGAAGAAGATCATAATTTGATTAGCAATTAGAATCTTCTACTCCACATTAAAAAATTTATAGTTTTACACAAATTAGAGCAACCAATCCAGGTGACTGTTAACCAGTCCATCATTACACCGAAATGAACGGCACCACCACGCTATCAATTTATGCTTGCCTTGTAGACATTTGAAAGAAAAGAAAAATATGATAACAAAGAGCAAAAAGGTAAAACTAACTTACAACTATAATCCTATTTTTATATTTTTCAATACGTTTGTCAGTAAATTTTTCAGTTTTTTGAGAATAGGTCAACTGAGGCTCATCATCTTCAAGTACTACTGAAGGATGTAGATATAATACTTTGCCAACTAAAAATGCCTAAAATAATTTTTGTCAATACATATTGGTCACAAAAAAATAAGAAAGATTTACCTCAAATGTATCAAACATATCTGATAGACGATATTCAAGTTTTTCTTTTAGATAATAAGTGAGCGATTGAATCTTCTCTGTTGGAAATCTTGATTCAAACTGTCAAAAGATAATAATAAAGCTTTTTGAAAAAATAAAAGTCAAACCTTTTGCATAACTTTCTCACCAAATTTATCTATCATTTGTCCTAAGCAAGTGATGAATACATTGTATACTAAAGGAATGGATTATTTTTAAGATTACTTACAATCATCTGAAAGTTGAAGAGGTGCAAAACCTAAAAGCTTGCTGGATATTCTTGTGCTACCTCCACTGGAATAGCTGATGGTTGTGTTTTCTCCTTTTGTTCCATGTATATGGTATATAGTATATAGTGTGGGAGACTTATTTAATATTCTGAAGAGATTATATAAACATACAGGTAACAGACATTCAGAAATAACAAAAAGTACACAAACAACATTCTTTATACATTAAAAAAACAAACAATTTATACAACAAGGCCTTGTGCCGATTGCCTCCAACCATCTAATATCGTCAAGTCAATGTGCAACGTGGTGGCGAGCTACCTAGAATGGTGGCCACATTACAAACCTGATTGATAGAATTCAGCCTGCACCAATGGAAGGACTAGACAAATCACACCAGTTACTAGTGTCAAATCAAAATATCCACTATAGTCTCCTACAGGAGGTCAGTCGCGAGCCTGAATAGCTCAGTGGTAACGTCTCTGACTGCAGCACTGGGTGACGCAGGTTCAAATCTCAGGTTAAATGTAGAATATACACGCAAAAATGAAACAAGCCTAAAAGATATAATCATTGTTTTCATACAGTGAATTTGCAGTAAATGAAACTGACTGGGTTTTTAGCACAGAACTTTTGCACCAAAGTGTAACAGTTCAAGTTGTAACACTTCACAGCAGAAAAAAATGAATCATAGTGAAGGGAAATATATGAGAGAAAGAATAATTACTTACAGAATAATAAGAATTCAATGGATTTTTGGAATTACCAGGAGTAAATGCATCGGAGATATGAAGACCAAGTTTTAGTCATTTCATCAACTGTCTGTAGTCATTGGAGTCTACTGGAGCCCAGTCAACTCAAGAACCAGAAATCAAAGACTTCATGGATTGATGTCATGTTATGATATTACTACCCCTAACTCTTCCCCAACCTAGTCCTATGTCAGACAATATCGTTAGACGAGAAAGGTGGTCACTTGTAACGCATATGTCCCAGTCATTTCAACCGATGCAGCTACACATCATCCATTGATTCTCAAATAAATGAGACTGGGGATCGTCGAAAGTCATCACGAAATTCAAGGACCCAGCGTAGCTGCAGAAAGGAAGTAGTGGCCGTATAAGGAGTGTAATAATCGAACATCTCGTCACCAGTGGTCATTCCATCTCAACAAACTCCTCCTCCTTCAAAGTAATCTTCAAAGTGAAGAACAACCTGCCAAAGACAATATGTTTCCGTCTTCTCTGCACTGCGGAAGTCCTAGCCATTCAGTTGGAAGAACCAGATCTACGCATACAAGAGAAAACTACTCAACCACTTCTACTACCGTGGTAGCAACTGTGTTGATTTGAATTAACTTTTGCTTGTGTGCTTATTTTTCTCACCACTTAAAACTCTTGCGTAATTCCGTATGCTATTTGGTTTCCACGATCACCCTGAGCACAACTCTTCCATAAAACTATTCACGTAACGTAACTTTTCTTTAAAAATCGTTTGTGACAACTCATCACTTTTGTTACTACCCTCTTATATCAGCATCCAATTTATCTGAACTTACTAACTGTATTTTCGTTCGGTAAATTTAAATACAAAACAACCATATATATATTTACGATTATGCAGCTATGAAAATGAATTCGCCGTAAAGAGACTCTTCGTTGAACTACTGGTCTTCTGTCTATTAATGTTCGAATGGGGATTTTTCATGGATACAAAAAAACTACCAGTCCAATTTACTCGACAGACAATACCGAGTTGTACTATTTAAACTAGAATTTATGTACCAGAACGAGTTAGGAATTTGAAGAGGTGCAGGGTAATCTGGATTAGTGACTGTGTTTACATTTTGGTTCTTGAGGCAGTTAATCGCTCATATTTGAACCTGCTATCACCAAGGTTCTCTGTCTAGAAATGTCAAGTGAGAAAGTATTCCATTGTAATCACATAAAATGTTATAAATAATCACAGTTTACAGTGGAATCGAGAACGAGTGTTCTGTCCTATGTGAAACTCGTCAGCTGGACATAACTGCTAGTTGCCACCTAGGGAATAACATCAACATGGGAATGTGGTGTGTTCTAACAAATAACGAGGAGTAAATATGTGATAGATGCATCTAAGACCCTAACTGACTATGACTCGTATTTTCAAGATATTGTTCCCTCATTATTAACAAGTATTCTCTAGCAATCCGAATGTAAGATACGATATCCTTTTAGATATTTGCTATAAGAACCTCCGCTAATTTCAATGTAGGATGTCTAGGAGCTGCGAACGGGACACTAGTGACCAGTACGTCATCGTGGAGTAACAACGTTACATTATTAGCAATCAGAGGTAGGCCTCCTGATTAAGTTGACTAGGAGCTGGGAATATTTACAGATAGATTCGACAGATTTTGATAGCTTACTCCAATGCCAGCTATGAGAAAGCAACAGACCAGACCGATAGCTGCTATCTTGACATGGTGGTTGAGCTTGCATATCCCAATGAACCAACGAGCTACACTGATTGGAACTAATGTTCCCAGAAGACCTACCATGCCAGAATGGTTGTTAGGATGGTGATCAGACAAAGAGCAGTTAGCGGCATAGTTTAAGATGTTTATATTGTGCTACGGGTCTGTGGACTAAGTCGTACTGTCGGGGAACAGGGATGCAACAGCAGTAAGACGTTTCCGTCAGATAACTGGAATGCCAGTTATGTTGCTTCACCACTCTGAAGAGGGGGGTTAAAAAAGGTCAGCCTCAAAGTGGTACATCCTGACTTACCCTACGGCGGTAAGTTCTTAATACGGACACAACTCTAATAACCAGTTCAAACAGGCCGTGTGTGACCAGCCTCAAGCAGTGGTCCCCTGGGCTTTTGAGTCACGCAACACAATTCTGTTTATGTTCCAGGTATCCCAAGAAAACATCTATTTCCACAGTGTGGGAGGCCCGGGAGTAACAATCACTCACATACTTCCAGAAGTACACAAAGCTCTTCTGATCATCACCCACGCTTTATCTACGCCACCATCATCTCACTTTCATCCTACTGTTAGTAATATTCAACAGGCAAGTCCTCCATCTTCTCCTCACTCTGAGACCAATAACAGCGGCAAGGGCCGGAAACAAACTGGTGGTCTCTTAAAGCCACAGAACCTACTTCATACTGGGGCATTTAACGTCAGGAGCTTCTGTCAAATCGGACAAGCATCGCCAGTCAGAATTCTAACATCTCGGGCCATGCATGTATATTGTGTTTCAGAGACAGGCATTGCAAGACCCAAGGTTAATCCCACCTGGCCAACAGGGCAAATCTGAGAAATTCACCTTACGGGTGTCAGATTTTTCGGCTGGAATAGAAGAGAATTAGAAAGCAGTTGTAAACCCTTCGTGTTCAGCTTTTGGATGAAAGGGGCTAATTCCATCATAGATTGATTTCATTGGGTAAAAACATAATGACGAATTGTTATTTACTGATGACATTTCGAAGACATTTTATTGGTGAAGTGGAGTGGGACTCGAACCAAGAACCCATTGTCTGAGAGTGAACTTAAACCAAAAGAACATATCTCCAAAGATGGTCGGGAACTATCAGTAGTAATAAGACTAGGTAAAGAGAAGTCAATCGATAAGGTTGGGAAGCTGCGTCGATTTGGTTGGCTAAAACGTGCCACGTATGGTATCAGCCATGTATATTGTCTGGCTGGGATTCTTGAGATGTTAAAGACCAATGGTTGGAGACTGTAGATGACACGACTCAAAACTGTTAATAATGGCGCAGATGTATTCACTCTACATTCACTTAATCTCCGTAATTCTTCATCTAGTTCTCTGTCTGTCTGTCTGGATTCAACATAGAACTTGGCACCGAAGTGCAGCAGTTCGAGTTGCCACGTTCCAAATAGCCCACAGAGGTAGACAAGAAGATGAGTGAAGAGAATTAATAGAGTCTGACAAGTATAAGAGTGAAACAGAATGGGTAATGGTAGAAAGGAATATGAAAGATTACAGAGACTGAGTACATCTGCGCCATTGACAACGATTTTGAGCCATGTCACCTATTGTCTCCAGCCATTGATTCCTAGAGTCCCGAGGGCCCCAACCCGGGAGTCTGCATCTCCCTACCTGACTCAGTTTAACTGTCAAGGATTTCATCTAGTTATTTTTTCTCCTGTACGTTTGCTCCTATTGTGGTTTCATTGAATTTTTTATCCGCTTAAACGAAGTATGGAGACTTGAAATGATTCACTTTTTGGAAAGTTCAGTGACGGTGTTTATCCATTATACATTCCACAACTGTTTACATTACCTGCTGGTGTACCAGTCACGAATAAATCACCTCGTAAATACTATACAGTGCTGTGAACACTTCAAATAACACAAAAAGGTAGAGAACAAAATTCGAAAGAACTATAGTGAACGGGGATATATAGTTGAAAGAATAATTTCATGCAGACTCCATTATGGATAAAATTTTATTTCGATAAATCACACAGTATTGTACAGTAATATTAACTGATGACGTTTCAAGCACAAACTATTGCTCATAATCGTATCAAGTTGATATGGTATGATTATGAGCAGTAGTTTGTGCTCGAAACGTCATCGGTTAATATTACTGTACAAAACCGTGTGACTTATCAAAATAAAATCTTACCCATAATGGAGTTATACTCTACCATAGAGCCCAAGTTTTATACTTACATCAATTGCATGGAGAAAAATGAGAATCTAGTGGATCTCGGATATTACAAAGAGTGAATGCATCTGCACCAATGAGAACAAGTTTGAGTTACATCATCAACATTAAATTCATTGCTTCTCAGCGTCTTGAAGACTTCAACCAAACACTCTACACCTTTCTACATGGTTCGAACCAATAGTCAAGGATTTCATAGAGTGACACCGCACTTTGACTTAGCCACCCTCCCACTTTTTCAACATTATACTGTCAGCTAACACTCCTGGAAGAGGAAAACAACTGCCTGGTATGAGTACCGCGTATCTTAACTGAAGCTTTACAACCTTATGCACTGGCTTACTCTCTTTACCCGTAGCTGTGTCTGACCTCAATATTACTCATTATATTATACCAATTAGCAAGAGGGACAGAACGCAAATACCTGTAGTCAGAGGCAGCCTCTTAAAGTCTTACGATTTCAACAGCAAAACCTCCAAGTAATAAAGGACAGAGCCCGTCGCAACGCGGTACACACGTTCATGGATTGGCAACGTCTCCGTACACTTATCCCCTCTTATGAACTTGACCGTAGCGTTTATCACAACTCTGTCAGTGAATTAAAAACTCCAATTATTCTTAATATAAGTGTACCAATGAATCACATACTGATATTATACTCTCAGAGAAATATAAAAATAATCCATACATGTATGGATTATTTTTCTGAGTAATCCGACTTGCAAGTTCCAGAACTCAGAGTTCTCTAACAGAACATCTTTCACATGTATCACAGGAGTGAGATCTGAACTTAAATTATTTTGAGATAGTAGTTGATACTGTATTACAGGGCGGTAATGCAGTTATAACAGAATTTGAGCCACTATCTAAAACAATTGCGTTTTTACGAACACGTTTTTTTCAGAGATTTGGACCATAATTTCAAGGGTTATATGACAATAAGCAGTAAGTCAATTTCAGGACAAACAAGTGCAAATTTCGAACGTACCGCTCGCCGTGCACAGTGTGAGCTCTTGCTATATATAAATAAAACCCCAAATTGTGTATACAGATGATGTTTATCCAACTGTCTCCTTAAACCTTGATTGAGACTGCACTTAACTGATTTTCGGAATTTATCCATATATTTCCGCAGGCTAAGATTTTAGTTAGAATTTTTACAAGCAAATAAGACAAATTAACCTAACTTGCACAGAACTATCAGACATATCAATGGGAATGCATAATAGACTTACAACAGCAATGGATAGCGGTACAACAGAGGATAGAGGCTGAGGGCTCGAAGGTCACTTATTCGCATTTTAATTGGTGGAGTTATGTCTGCATATCTAATTTCCAGCTAGTATAAACCAATTTGATTTCTTTGTGGTAGTCTCTTGATTGTGAGGTATAAGTTCCTGATCTTCGGTAAACTTCTGCGTACCTCGTCTCTCCATTTGACTGTCGCAGCTTTGGTTGACTCCAAAAGGAGTAGTGCTGGGATTAATTATGTGGTTTGTAGTTTGAGGTATGTTAGACCGTTACTACTGTGAAGGGTGTTGATCCTTTCACCAGTTAGTCCTCGGGTACTGCCGTCAAGAGAAAAGAGATAATGATTAAGAGAAATAATAGATATAATCAGTGAGGTTATTCAGACTAACAGACAGAAAAAGAAATAAGGGAAAGGTAAAACAGACAGCTGATTAAATTTGAAGTTGATGTATATATATATATATATATATATATATATATATATATATGTATCAGCAATAATAATAAGTGTAGTTGGAGTTGTTAGGAGAATAGGCCGGGAGAGAATGTAAAGAAGTAAGACGACGAACTTAGTTGTCTACCCCGAGTGGTGTATGGGATTTTAGGAGGATAGGCCATTCGGACGCATTCCTTGTGTCTCTGCATTATTGTCCAGTCTTCGTTTAAAGGCGTCCACAGACGGTGCCGTAGCTACATCTGCCGGCAAGGAATTCCAGGGACGGCAACCCTGAAGTGAAAAGAAGTGGGAGCGCATTCGGGTTTTTGCTCTATGGTGAGCTTTCCTTCTGGGATTTCCACGAGGAAGCCCATACTTACTCTATGGCAGAACACCTTTGTTTAGGTGATTCTGGCCATTTGTTATATTGTAGGCAGTAATCAAATCCCCCTAAGCCGATGGTAGCTAAGTGTGAATAGGCCCAATTTCTTCAGCCTTCCATCATATGGTTTATTTCGGAGACCAACCACTCCTTTTGTCGTCTGTCTTTGGACTCTTTCCAAGAGGTTGGCGTCCCTTCTAAACAGGGGGGTGCAATAACATTATGCACTTCAAGGTGTGGCCTGACGTATGTTTTGCGCGACCTTAGAAAGAACTCAGGAGAAAGTGCATCTGTCTATGTGTAAAGTGTGTGACCGCACTGCCCTCGCCACGTCCCCCGTGTAATTTACGTTTGTGTCCATTTTTTCCGTTAGAACTAGACCTAAGTCGCCCTCCGACGTTTTGCAGGACAGGCTTCCGTTGCACAGGGTGTAACTTGCATTCTGCAGTCTGCACGTGCGTAATTTCACTACTTTGCGGTTGAAAGTCATGTTACTAGCCACCGCCCAGTCTTCCGGAAGCTTTAGATCTGCATGCAGCTTATCTGAGTCCTCCGGACACTTTATTGCCCTCCATATCTTTACATTGTCAGCGTCTAGGAGAGTCAGGCGGCTTAGGTGGCATGGTAGGGCATCGGTAAAAATCAAAAACATCAGTGGTCCTAGCATAGGACCCTTTGACACTCCTGATGGCGAGCCGCGCCAAGATGATAGGACTCGATTGACCTTAGTGCAAAATTGCCTTTCAGCTATGTGATCCTTTAACCACGACAGAAGTGGCTTACCTATACCCTCCTGACTTATTTTGTGTAGGAGAAAGTCATGATGGACCGTGTCAAATGCCTTCTCAAAGTCTAGGAAGACCACACGGACTGGAACATTCATATCCCAGCATGGTATCCAATCGTCCCAAGCTGATGGTAGGTTTGTTACACAGGATCTGCCTTTCCTGAAACCGTGTTGGGCTTCATGGAGTATATTGGACCTATCAAGTTATCCCCTGATGTGATCGTCAATAATACTTTCCAGTACGTTTTATACCATTAGGAGTAGAGCTAGTGGTCTATAGCTAGTGGCATTTTGCCTATCCCCACCCTTGAAGACCGGAGAAAGGATGGCTTTTTCCACTCCCTTGGCAGCTTACACGAATCTATCGAGTGTTGGAACAAGTCGCATAAAGGCCGGGTTTATTTGGGAAGTAGCCGCTAGGTTTTCCTCCGGTGAAATAGTAGTGTCGCCATTTTGGTCCGGACCGGTATTACCAACACTGCCGTTCAACTGTTTGGCTTAGGCTAAACCGAATGTTTCCTCCATCTTCAGACTGGTGAGATATTGACCGTTCGGACCTACTAAGGCGCATGCCGCCTGGTTAGTTGGTTTTCTTTCCGACATTAATCGATACAAGTTTTTGGGGTTTACTGGGAGTTTCTTGACAAGGTTAGCCTGGAATGACCTTCCGTTACACCGGTTCCTGAGTTCCAAATATGCGTCGTGGTCGGTCTGACTCTTGGATACGCGCCAAGTAAACCAAGCCTTAGGCTTTGCTTGCAGAATACGTTGAGTACCTCTCTTCAGCCATAATGACTTTCTTTTGGGATGTGTTGTGACTAAAGGGACGGTATCCAAGATTGCTGTATGAATAATCACTTCCCAGTGTTCATCCACAGATAACTCAACCAATGATAAGGGCCAATCTGCTGTGGACCAAACCCTCCGCATTTCAGCATAGTCCGCCTTCCTATAGCGCAAGCATGGCCATGTAACGTTCCACTGCAAGTGCTCACGGAGAACAAGATCAAAACCTATGACTGCATGGTCACTACCTCCTAGAGGAGTCATGATCTGGACATTTTCGACGAGTAGTTGGTCACTAGTTAGAATGTAGGGCCAAGTTAAACTTTTGACACCACTAACTACCAATCAGCGAATGGCGTCGAATTATCCAACGAGATTCACGAACATTGTTCGATGTTGTATAGCCCTCAATTCATTTCTAATGCGTGCCCTTACGAGGTTACGGTTGGAATTCGAGGGGGACAGTGTTTTCCAGTATTGCCTGGATTTCGGGTTGCTCCGGAAGGAGCGAACTTGTTCGTGTGGCGGTATCGTGACTTCAAAAAGCTATAGCAGATCAACTGATGGATTTGTTCATCGTTGTGCTATATGTTTGAAGCGTGCTATCATTAAAGAGGGTAAGCTGATAATTTTATTATTTCGTAGGAACTTTTTTCGCTAGTCGCATCTCTTCCTAACCAAGATTTTGTATATCTGCAACTACTGGGAGTCAAAATAGCCGGTGAGAGCAGCAGCTGCTGAGACAGAGAATAGCCTCGTCTGAACAGTTCATTGGTACCAGTATTGCAGAGATATCGCTTCGTGGGAAACAGAGAAAATCACTTGTTTGCTGAGTGGAGAAGACGTTGTCGTGCATGTCGAGGAAACTGTGCTGGTGAAAAAGAAATACAACCGTGGTCACCAGCGAGCGAACAACATTTGGGTATTAGGTTTATACGACACCTCCCTCTGAACGGTATTCGTCGAACGGATAGCTGACAGAAAAGCAACCCCTTTATTACCTTTTATAACGAGACTTGCTAAACGGGGATCAATTTTACACACGGATGAGTGGAAAGGTTATAATTCACTGTCATCTCTGGGTATACTCATCACAGAGTGAACCATTCAAGTGATTTTGTGGATCCCGTTACGAGGACTCATACGAATTTCATTGAAGGGTTTTCGGGCCGCTTGAAAAACGGGATAAGGGCTATAAATGGATCTCTAAAAAATCTCATTTATAGACATTTAGATGAATATATGTACACGATGTAGTGTGACTTCTCCATTGACAGTCCCATGCTAAACTGGGAGATGTTTCTCTCACGTGTTTGGCAAAGGCACCGCGTTTTATCCTTTTTATGCTTTTTTCTATAATATGCCTTTCCATTTACCATAAATGCCTCTTTAATGTGATTGGTCCCCTCAAAGTCGTTCGCTGATTGGTTGTTAGTGATGTCGAAAGTTTAACTTTGCCGAATGTAGTCTAGTTTCGATGACTTTCCACTACGACCCCACCTAGTGTCGTCTCCAGCATTTTCAATCGGTCCTGTATTCCGAAGGGTTTGCGGTAGATTTCGGCCAAATTTTCCCTTAGCATACCCCGAGCAAAGGTTCAGTGATGGGGCATTGAAATCTCCAGCTACGGTGTTGAGCAGTAGCTGGTTGTGCTCTGCCCCACATGTGGGTGATCGGTAGATGCCACCCAGTATATGCCTGGTGTGGCCTACGGTGAAATGACATCAAATGGAGTCTGGGAGTTCAATAAGTGGTGGTTCCGTTGCGCGCATACACTTAATTTGCCTGTCAAAGTATGCAGCAACTCCCTCCCTTCCTTATCATCCCTGTCTCTCCTGACCAGAACCGTATCACCTAAGCTGACTTCATTGTCGGTGATAATGGGGGTTAGCCCGGTTTCGATGAGAACGATTATTTTACGGTGTAGGTGTGACTGGAGATTTCTGAGTTTCCTACTTTTCCTCTCAGTCCTCTAACATTGTTGCATTAGCAGCTGAAAGTGAGTCTAACAACCTCAGCGTGTTATAGGATAGTTGACTTTAAGTTGCCTGCTGGCAGAGGAGTTAATGTTCACACTAGTTGGCCGATTCCGATGGAACCTGCCTGTCAGCCACGTCTCGTAAACCGTTAATGCCCAGCGCTTGCTACGCTCGGGCTCACGCTGTCGCTTGGAGTTTCTCAGAAACGCTAAGTAATAGCGAACGAAAAAACCAAAACACCAATTGTTGACTCGAGGATTCTTTATTCTTACACCAACATATAAATGACGTATGACTAAGGTCTGTGAACAAATATTACAATAATAAATCACAATATTACTTCTGACGGTTTTCTGCTGACTTC